CATTAGCCTTGCTGTTAGCGCTGGTTCAAAAGTTTTTGAAACTATTGATCGTGTTCCTCCGATAGACATTGCTTCTGATACTGGTGATAAGCTTGAAACTATCGAAGGTCACATTCAACTTAAGAATATAAATTTCATTTATCCAACTCGCCCTGAAGTTAAAGTTTTAAATGATGTATCATTGGATGTTGAACCTGGTTCTACAGTTGCGCTCGTTGGTTCTTCGGGTTCTGGTAAAAGTACAATCGTATCTCTCGTACTTCGTTTTTATGATCCCATATCAGGTGGTGTATTTATTGATGGACATGATATCAAATCACTCAATTTAACGTGGGTTAGAAGACAAATAAGTCTTGTAAGTCAAGAACCTATCCTTTTTAAAACTACTATAGCCGAAAATGTATCTTATGGATTAATCGGTTCTATTTATGAAAGTTTACCTGATAACGAAAAACGTGAAATGATTGAGAATGCTTGTAAGATGGCTAATGCACATGATTTTATTATGAACCTCCCTGAAAAATATGAAACTATGGTTGGGGAACGTGGAATTTTATTATCTGGAGGTCAAAAGCAACGTATCGCAATCGCTCGTGCTATTATTAAGGATCCAAAGATTTTATTACTCGACGAAGCTACTAGCGCTCTTGATACAGCAAGTGAGGGAATAGTTCAAAATGCATTAGACAAAGCTTCAATGGGTCGCACAACAATAGTTATTGCACATCGTTTAACCACTATTCGCAATGCGAATAAGATTATTGTGATGAATAAAGGTGTTATTGTGGAATCGGGTACACACAAAGAGCTTATGGATAAAAAAAGTTTTTATTCTAAACTTGTTGAAACTCAACAGATTCAACAGACTTCAAAGGTTGAAGTAAATCTGAATGAGAATGAACCGGATTTATTTATAATTCCACCTATAGATGATGTTACTATTAAGGACACTATCAAGGATAATGAAAATCAGATTATTTCGGCCAAACAAAAGGCTGATACTGAAATGGGGTTGAAACATAATGATTGTCATTACTCTTCTTGGGAACTAATCAAGAAGATAGCAATCATCAATGGACCTGAAGCTTTTATACTTTACATAGGTATAATAGCATCAATCCTTAATGGCAAGTGATAGAAAACTTTATTAATATTAATGATTATACCTTTATTGTATGTAACAATTTATTAAATATATACGTATATTTAAATTTTAGGCTGCGTTTACCCGATATTTGCTATTACATTTGCTAATATTATTCAAGCACTTTCAGAAACTGGAGATACTTTACGTCATAAAGCAAATTTCTGGTCTCTTATATTTTTTGTATTTGGCATGATAACATTGTGTTTGAATTTTATTCAACAAGTTGCTCTTGGATTTGCGAGTGAAAAGCTTACAGAACGAATTCGGTTCATGTCTTTTGCATCTATTTTACGACAAGATATTTCTTTTTTTGATGAAGAAAGTAATGGTGTAGGTGTTTTGACTGGTCGATTATCATTAGATGTAACACATGTTAATGGTTTGGCGGGTTCTACATTTGGAAATCTATTACAAGTAGTGGCTTCGCTTTGTGCATCTTTCACAGTGGCATTTATAGTTGGTTGGAAGCTCACTTTGGTCTGCGCATGTGCTGCACCTTTATTAATTGGAGCTGCTACATTACGTATAAAAATGGTAAATGGATTCCAACAAAAAACTAAGAACGCCTATGAATATTCCACTCAAATAGCTAATGAAGGAGCTAGTAATATTAGAACGGTCGCTGCTCTTATTCGTGAAGATGATTTATGGAAAAAATATCATAATTTATTAGATGGACCCATGCGTCAAGGTTTTAAAAATGCATACTTAGCCTCCACTATTTTTGCTTTTGGACAAAGCATCTCCTTTTTAGTAAATGCTTTAACATTTTGGTATGGTAGTAAATTATTTATGGACGGTGAATATGATCTTCAAAAAATGTTTGTAGTTTATTCGGCCATTATAATTGGATCACAGTCTATTGGCCGTGCCTTTGCTTATGCACCAGATATAGGGAAAGCAAGATCTGCATCTGCTACCATAGTATCATTATTAGAACGTGTTCCTGTGATTGATACATGGAATCAAGGTGGTGAAAAGGTTAATACTATCGATGGTCACCTTAAATTCACAGATGTTTATTTTCATTATCCGACTCGACCTAATGTTCCAGTTCTCCAAGGTTTAAATTTAGAAATTAAGCCTGGTCAATATGCAGCATTAGTTGGGACATCAGGATGTGGTAAAAGTACCACAATAAGTCTTACCGAAAGATTTTATCAGTTGACGAGTGGCACAATTACAATTGATGGAATAGATATTACTAAAATGAATGTGAACAATCTTCGAGAGCATATTGCACTTGTAAGTCAAGAACCATCATTATATGATATGACTATAAAAGAAAATCTTACTTTTGGAAGTCGACCCGGGCAAAATATTACACAAGATGATATAGAAAATGCATGTCGAGAAGCAAATATTCATGAATTTATTGTTGAATTACCTGATGGATATGATACTCGAGTTGGTGGAAAAGGAACACAACTTTCAGGTTATTATCTTAAATATTGTTTCTCATAACTTTTTTAAGAGGTCCAGAGTAACATTTATTAATACATTTTCTTTTAGGTGGACAAAAGCAACGAATTGCCATCGCCAGAGCACTTATTCGAAATCCAAAAATTTTATTACTTGATGAAGCAACATCGGCCTTAGATTCGGAATCAGAAAAGGTTGTACAAAAAGCACTTGATGCTGCAGCTCACGGAAGGACAACCTTAGCAATTGCGCATAGATTATCAACAATTCAACATGCAGATGTTATATATGTTATAAAAGATGGTAAAGTTCATGAACAAGGCACACATCAAGAACTATTAAAACTTAAAGGAACTTATTATACGATGGTACAGGAACAAA